CAGGGGGAAGAGAAGCTTGGTCATGGTCCTTTCAGGCTCCTGTGCTCAGGTCTGCGTAGATCACAACCTTGACAAGAGGGGTTAGGGAAGGGCATCCAGGGTGGCCTAGAGATGACAGTGGTGAGAAGGCCAAAAGGGACTCCAAAAACACCAAGAATAATAATAAGAGGTCACATTTCTATCACACCTTCTGCTTTTCAAAGAAATTCCCTGTGGTAGGCAAAAGATGAAATAACTGAGGAAACATAGGTTCAAACTTCCAAGTATAGTGATTTATTATGCAATGTATGCCAATTGCATAACAAATTGGGACCCTGCCTCCTCAGCTTTGGCACTGGACTCCAATTACAGGGGAAAACAGATTTTTATGCCATAAAAACAATCAAATAAGACCAATTAATTAAAAAAAAAAAGAAACAATTAGGACAGCTAGGTGGTGTAGTGGATATAGCACCAACCCTGGAGTCAGGAGGAACTGAGTTCAAATCTGACCTTGACACTTACAAGCTGTGTGACCCTGGGCAAGTCATATAACCCCAATTGCCTCTCAAAAAAAAATTAACCAGGATATAAAATTAGGTAATCTGATTTCTAATTGGAGGAAAGAGTAATGACTTTCCCAATTGGTAGAGGGATGAAGTATAGTTCCCTGAAATCAGAAAAAGGGGTGTCCCAATCCCCCAAGTGTCTGTATTGAGTGAAAGGAACAAGAAAACAGTAACTTATCAGTGTGGTTGCTGTTGTTGAGTTGTTTCAATCATGTCCAGCTCTCCATGACCCCATTTGGGGTTTTCTTGGCAAAGATGCTGGAGTGGTTTGCCATTATCCTTCTCCAGTTCATTTTATGGATGAGGAACTAAGGCAAACAGGGTTAAGTGACTTGCCCAGGGTCACACAGCTAGTAAGAGTCTGAGGTCAGATTTGAACTTTGTTTCTGCTGACTCCAGGCCTGGCACTTTATCCACTACGCCACCTAACTGCAGCGATTAGTCAGTACAGGGCCAGTTTTCGGATAAGACATGGGTTGCTCGAGACGTAAAATTGTGAGAAAACTTCTTGCATCAGTCTTTGGATCTGACTGAGTTTCTGGTCAGCATAACCCAGGTCTTTGCCTAAGGGTCTCTCAGCAGCAGGGAAAGGTGGTCCAGTTTCCCAGCCATGCATGGCTAGGTTCAAACGATGCAATAAAGTTTTCTCACAAGACAGAAGTTAGACTGGACCCATAACTGAACAGAAAGAGAACTGAGCTAGATCCAGAACTGAGTCACAAGATGGAGTCAGCGTAGTTCACTCAATTCCTTCAGAACTCTGCCTAAAAGTAACTAAACTTGCATACGCTTTAACCCAGTGATATCACTTTTGGGCCTATTCCCCAAAGAGATCCAAGAAAGAGGAAAAGATCCTATATGTACAAAAGTACTCATAGTTGCTCTTTCTGTAGCAACAAAGAACTGGAAATAAAAGGGTACCCATCAATTTAGGAATGGTTGGACAAACTATGGTATAAGGATAGAATGGAATACCAGTATGCCATCAGATATAGCAAAAGGGATGGATTCAGAGAAATACTGGAAGAATTTTATGAGCTAAAGCTGAGTGAATTAAATAAAACCAGGAGAGTTATTTATATACAATAACTTTACAAGACAAACAACTTTGAAAGACTTAAGAACTTCAATTAGCACAATGGTCAATCATAATTCCGTGGGACTAAGTATGCTACCCATTTGACAGAGAGGTGATGGACTCAAGATGCAGAATGGCATGCATATTTTTTAGACATGGCAACATGGGAATCTGTATTGACTATGCATATTTGTTCTAAGAGCTTTTCTTTTCTTTTCTTTCCAATGAGAGGACGGGTGGAAGGGAGAGAAAATAAGTGCTAGTTAATTAAAAAAAAAAAAGAAAGAAAAGAAAAGAAAAAAGGGAATATTGACCAGAGCTGATTCCAGTTTCTCTTCTTCCCCCAGTCTGGTTCCGCTTTGGTGAACTGGAGCTGCTCTGTACCTGGATACTGATTGGCTGATAGGATGTGCCAGAACTTGACTTCCTTAGTCCTATGGGACACATCCCTTGGTCCCTATATGTTTACTCAGTTTCAATACCAGATTTAATAAGCCTTGGTAATTGTCCTGTTGACCACTAATTAGTCCTTGAAATCAAGCCAGAGCTTCAGCTTCCTTTGCCAGGAAATAAATACCTTGTTGGTGTCTCCCTACCAATGTCACTGCAATCCAAGGGAGCCAGGAGCTACAGGAACTAGGGACAATTTAGTGCTACATGGACCCTGCTGGAGATTGGGGCTGCCTAGGCTCAGGAACAGCTAAGTGGCTTTTCTTACAGGGATAGGAATAGCACCATCAAGCTGTGCACCCACTCAAAACAGGTTTTCCTCCACTAGGTGGCTGCATGGGAAAGGAAGGGGCAAAGGCTCTCAGTTCCCAGCCCAGAATTTCAGGTGGCCATCTTTGACTGCAAGGCTAAAATGTGGGCTCTGCTGAGAGTTCCTCAGTCAGCCAAACTGAAGGGCAAGCCTGATATAGCAGCCCAGAATAGAAGCAGAAAGCCCCTCAGGCCACGCAGCTCACTGATCTGCTTTGGTGCCTGGAGCATGCTGGGGACCTTAGATGCAGGGCTGACTTCTCCGTGACTGTGGGTGAGGGTTATGTTGTCACTGCTGCTTAGGGACCCAGCAGTCTTGAGCACTGCTTTTTTTAGCTCTGCTATTTTTGTGATGAAGACCAATCACCATTATAACTTCTTATGTATATAAAAGATGCTTTGTGGTTCTAAAGTACTTTGCAATCATTTGATCCTCAAATAACCGGTAAGGTAGATAGGCAGGCTGGGTAGCTAGCTAGTAATTGACATTATCATCAAAGACTCCCTCCAAGAGAATATTTCATGGGAGTGGTTTCTTTCGAAATAAATTATTGTCCTTGTTGAGTCATTTCAGTTATGTCCACTTTGTGATCCCATTTTACATTGCCTGCCTTTCCTAACATGTCTCTTCTCTGGCCCCCAGAGCCATCCCTTTTAATCAAAAATTAAAAAGAGGAAGAAGACACTTCAGCAAAACCAACATATTGAAAAAGTTGACATTCTGCCCAGTGTTCCCTACCCGTGGCCCCCCTACCTCTACGAAGAAGCAGGGGGAAGTGCCTTCTCGTATTTCTTCTTTGGGGGAGGGGGTCAAGCTTGGTTATTATACTTCCACAGCATTTCATTTAGTTGTAAAGCGTTTTACAAAATTTTGTTTGGGGACCCAAAATTTTAAAACATCATTTTGTGATGAATAACATTGGTCCCCTCAAACATGGCTCCAGAAAATAGATGAGGAAATTTTCTCTGTCCTTTTACTGGCGAGGAGGAAGACTATGTGTATAAAATAATGTTGTTGTTCAGCTTTGTCCTACGCTTCATAACCCCTTTTGGGGTTTTCTTGGCAAAGGTGCTGGAGTGGTTTGCCATTTCCTTCTCCAGCTCATTCTATAGATAAGGAGGCTGAGGCAAACCTGGTTAAGTGACATGCCCAGGGTCACTGAGGCTAGATTTGAACTCAGGTCTTCCTGACTCTAGGCCCTGTGTTCTAGCCACTGCACCACCTAGCTGCTCCATTGCAGAATGTATGTATACAATCATTGTCTCTACACATCAATTGATTTTGCTTAACTTTTTTTTCTTAGTTACAAGGGAAGGCTCATGGGAGAGAGAGGAGAGATAAAGGGACTATCTGGAAATGACCGTGATGTAAAAAAAATAAATAAATAAAAAGTATTATGAAAACTTTTTCAAATATATTAGTTAAGGAAGTGACGTGCCTGAGATGGCCCTGGTAGCCTTTGGGAAGCAAATCAGCCTTTTCAACTACTGAGGATGAGGGTGGGCGACTGATATTCCTCCATGTTTTCCTTCATAGAAGTCAGTAACCTTTGGCCCTAAGGGTCTAAGCACCACTGGAGGGTCCCAGTCTTAGGCTGTAGAAAAGGAAAATGGGAGAAAAAAGAAGAGGAATCAAAGTGAGAGTGAAAAGGGGAAAGGAAAGAGAAGGAAAATGAGATATTTACATTCCAAAATATTACTAGTTGTCCATTAAGGCGTGCTCAGAAACTGGGGAACAGCTCCCAGTGCAGCCTGGACGGAACCTTTTCCTTTTCCCCATGCCCACTCTCCTTCTTGTTGCTTTGGACCAGCAGCCATGCCCATCCTAAACTGCCCAAAAGGAATCAGAGGTCCCAAAGGACTTTACCCATGGAAATGGCTTCACCCTACACCCAGTAGGGGCTGCCTGTGAAATCCTGCCTTCAGAGGCCCCCCTGCCCCCACAGCCCTGAAAAATGATCTGAGTCATAAAGGAAAGAACGTCTACCCGATTATTAACAGTCTGGCCCACTCTTGAATTTCTCCTCTTCCTGCTGCCAGCTTGCTTTCGAGTAGCTAGTGTGGTGATGACTTAGTGCCCCAAGCTTTCTGAGTGGAAATTTTTTCTTAGCAATACTGGAAATCTCATAGTCAGTCATTAATCAGGGTCCCCTCTCCCACATATCTACTGTTAGTGCCTTCCTCTGAGATCACCTCCCATTGATACAGAACATATCATGTATATACATAGTTGTGTAGCACAGTGCCTGGCAAATAGTAGGTGCTCAATAAATGCTTATGGATGATGATAATAAGGAATCTCTGCCCACTCCCCCTGTGAGATGCTCAAAATGGGGAAGAGCTATTTGTCTCTCCTCAAGCTCAAGGTGGGGTTGGAGATGGGGAAAAGTTGTAGCCCTTTGGGGAGCTTGAGGAAGGTCTGAGGCTGTATTAGGGCCATTTTTTTTTTTAAACCAGTGTACCCTTCTTAGCCATCAAAACAACCAAACTTCCTCTGGAACTCAAGAGTGGGGCAGACCCCTGGGGTTTGGTATGAATCATTTGTTAGCTCTAACTGATTTCTCCTGAGGTTTAGCAGTGATACTCAAAGAATAGTTCATAGAAAGGAGACTCACCTATCCAAAGGCAACTGCCTGGCCACATCTCCTCGACTCCCAGCTCTTGGAGCAGATGAGAATTGTTCCTCCTGATCAGGGGTGGACTTATAATTAAACTTTTATTAAAGCAGTAGATTTCCCCTGTCTAATTTCAAAGATAATCCTGGGGGCCAATGACATGGTGCCGAGCAGAGTAGGCTGCAAGAGAGCCGCCCACATCTGCAACCACAAGAAAATGTGTGTGTGTGGCTCAGAGCTTGAACCAAGGGGTTAACAAACCTAATTGCAAACTGGTTGACTAGGGCTTTTAATTCTTCTTCAAGAAACAAGTGAGCTGTACTCATGGCAATGGTGGAAAATGAGGCAAATCTGCAGAAAGGTTGACTGTGGGGTGCTTACAAGGCAAAGTCCTCTCTCAGAGTAAATATAATCCTTTAGAAAGGAGGAATTATACAAAGGACTTTGTTTTTGTTTTTGCTCTTGTTTTTTAGTCTGGAAGGGTGTTAGGGATCATAGGTTTATGAAGGTTTAGAGGGCAGCTAGGTGGCGCAGTAGATAGAGCCCTGGTCTGGGAATCAGAAGGACTCATGTTGAATTCTATTCTGGCCTCACACTAGCTGTGTGACCCTAGGCAAGTCACTTAACCCTGTTTGCCTCAGTTTCCTCATATGTAAAATGAGCTGGAGAAGGAAATGGGAAATCACTCTAGTATCTTTGCCAAGAAAACTCCAAATGGGGTCATGAAGAGTTGGACACAACTGAACAACAAAAATGTTACAAACCTACGTTAAAAATTGCATTCCAGTGACTGGCCACCCACTTTCTGTGTGCCCCACGTTTTACTTTTTGGCAAGATTTCACTCCTCATTCCAACTACTGTGATACAGAGAATTGAACTCGGAGTCACAGGATATGAGCTGGAATTCCAGCTAAGCCACACTCAACCTCAATGTCACTACTTCCCCTCTGTCTGAAAAATGAAGATCTAGTTCATTTCCAAGGTCCTTGCAACTCTAGATCTGGGATCTATTATTTCTCTGACAAAAAAAAAGCATAACCATTCCCCCACCTAGGTTAAGTTTGAGCTACTACGTTTCCAAACAAGGACGAGAGAAATTATTACCTGAACACTACCATAATCTCTAATTTTATTGATGACTGAGACCTCAAGAGGGGAAGTGATGACTTGCCCACAGTCACTTGGGTAATAATTAGCAGAACTAGGAGAAGGAAATGGTAAACCATTCCAGTATCTTTGCCAAGAAAACCCCAAATGGGGTCACTAAGAGTCGGACACAACTGAAAAAAGACTGAGGATTCAGACCCAAGCCCTCTGGTTTTAAATCCCTTCTCTTTTCCTAGCACACCACAAAGGTTCACCCCTCTTACTCTACAAATGAGGAGAATAGCTCCTATTGTCTCTAGGATGAGCATCATCAGCTCCATTTGGCATTTTTTGTTTTGTTTTGTTGGCTAGGCAATGGGGTTAAGTGACTTGCCCAGAGTCACACAGCTAGTTAAGTGTTATGTGTCTGAGGCCAGATTTGAACTCAGGTCCTTCTGAATACAGGGCCGGTGTTCTATCCATGGCGCCACCTAGCTGCCCCTTCTACTTGGCTTTTTTAAAGCCTTTGACAGTCTAGCTTCAACCTACTTTTCTGAGCTTCTCCTACTCTACACACAGTAAGTTCTAGACAAACTAGCCCACTTGTTAATTGCCATACACGATATTTCATCTCTCATGTCCGTGACTTTGCATAGGCTTCTACCATGCCTAGAATAGTCTCCTTACTCACTCCCACCTCTTAGCATCCCTAGCATCCTTCAAGGTTCAACTCCAAGCACCACTTCCCACAACAGGCATCTCCTCCAATACTACCTCCTTCTTTCATTACTTTGTTTTGACATATGTGTATATATATATATATACAGATATATACACACATATATATATACACACACACATATATATATACACGCACACACATCATTTTTCCCCCGAGAAAATGTAAACTCCACAGAATATTTCATTTTTACGTTATTGTTCTGGGCAGCTAGCCTAGAACTATGTTTGGCACATAGTAATCACTTAATAAATGCATTCATTCATGAATGAAGGAATGAATGAATAAATGAAGGAACATAAGTAGAATGTAAGCTTCTTGTGGGGACTTTTCCTTTTTTTCCTTTGTATTCTATCATTTAGCACGGTATCTTTCATAGCATCATAGACTTTAAGCTAAAAAGGATCTTTATTCAGTCCAACCCCTCATTTTTACACATGAGGAGCTGAGACTTAGAGACATTGAATGATTTATCTAAAATCACATAGGCATCTCAGTTGCCCCAAAACAATTGTGGGGAATTTTTTCTTAGCAACACTGGAAATTTTACAGAACTTTACCATACCTTCCCTCTGAGATTACCTCCCGTAGACACTGCATGTATTTTGTTATGTACATCGTAGAAGAGTCAAGATTTGAGGCCAAACCCTTGGAGACAAGACGAAGATTCTGGGTGCTTAATTAATGTTTTTCTGCATTGGAATGGAAGTGAATTGTCCCAGGGCCAAAAACCTAGTTGAGCAGAACCAAGAACCCAGTTCTCCTGACTCCTAATCTGGTGCCCTCTCCACTATACCCTGCCCTCCACTCCTCTGGGACACTTTTAACAATTTAAATAAATCAAAATTTGAAATTAATTCTTGCACTCTTTATAGAGAAGAAAGAAAGAGATTCCTAGAGAAATTAATAAAACATTAATTCATTCCCATCTGGATAAAAATTCAAATTTACATTAAACAGAGAGGTGATTACTTACAGTAGAAAAAGCTTTATAGGTTTCCCCTGCATAGCAAGCTCCCCCTTGGATATTTAAAATCTGATTCTGTTTTTAAAAATTCAACTTATAGACAAGTTCATTCATTCTTTAGAGCTGGAAGAGATTGGAGAGGTCAGATAGTCCAATTTCCTCATTTTACAGATGTCTAGAGCAGTCAAATGACTTGTCCAACATCACATTGCCAGCAAGTGGTTCAACCAAGACTAGAACCCAGGTCTTCAGACTTCCAGGCCATTTCTCTTTCCATTATGCAATGTTTACTCTCACTTAAATTTTCAGGCATGTGCTTTGTAGCATGAGGTTTGTGTTACTCAATAAAAGGCACTTTTCAATCACTCTTAAAACTATTTTAGCAACACATTTATATAGCAACAACAATACGTTAACTATACATGATTATTATCTATCTGTTCCGTGAAACAAGTCGATAAAATCTCTATTTTGCGAAATACAGCTGAATCAGGAAAACAAAATGCACAAATACACAATAGCTACAACCCTGTAAATGAAAAATACAAAATAAAAAAAATCACAAATGATAACTGTGTAGTGATAATGACTAAGTGTTTTCCTGAAGACATACTGAAAATGCACCTCCCTCCCTTCTTTGTAGAGGTAAGGAACTATAAGGATGAAATCGTGTGTAGCCCTCCTTTCAGAATACTCCCCCAACTTGTAGTATGAATCCCAAGACGGGTGAGTGCTATGTCCAGATCAGTTCAAGGAGCACCCTGTAAGTATCCACTCATAAAGCTATAACTCACAACACACACACACACACACACACACACACACACACACACATACACCATGTACTTCCCAATAACGGTCAACCAGTAGCTGCTTATGGTAACACAATTAGCTCAAAGCTGGTTGTGGTAATACAATTAAGTAACACAAAAGCAAAGGCATTTTCTAACATGACATTGTTGACCTGCAAATACTTGGTCCATACACACAGCACCTGTGGGAAGGGTGGACTCAAACATAGGGTCCCCTCCCTCCCCAAACTATTTTATATTCATTTTGCATACCTCATGTATGTACTTATACCTCTACAAGTTGTTTCTCCTGTTAAAATGTTAGTGCTTTACGAGCAAGAAATACTTCATTTTGCCTTTGTATTCCTAAGGCTTAGGACAATGCCCCACATATAGGAAATGCTTCAGAAATGTTTGCTGATTTATTTACTTAGAGATTCCAGAAAAGAAGGATCACATCCAACAGAGAGTTTCATCAAAGGCTGCATGGAATAAGTAGCATTTGAGCTGAGCCTTGGAGGAAAGGAAGGATCCAAGCATTAAGAAGGGATACATTCTAGATATACGGGGGATGCATATTATTATAATATTTACATAGCGCTTTAAGTTTCGCAGAATTCTTTTTTTTTTTTTTTGGTGAGGCAATGGGAGTTAAGTGACTTGCCCAGGGTCACACAGTCAAGTTTCTGAGGCTGGATTTAAACTCAGGTCCTCCTGACTGCAAGGCCAGAGCTCTATCCACTGCGCCACCTAGCTGTCACCTAGCTGCCCCCTAGAATTCTTTGCATATGTTATCTCACTTGATATTTCCATTTCATGGATGAAGAAATGGAGACGGACATAAGCTGAGTCACATACTTAACCTCAGTATCACACAACTAAGTAAGTGTCTGAGGCAGAAGTTGAACATGGGCCTTCTGACTCTAAGTCTAATCCTTTATCCACTGTGCCACATAGCTGAACAAATGTATAATGTAGTAGATTAATATAATGGAGAGAATTGAGAAATGAGGAAAAATACAGCTTCAAAGAGACATGGAAAGACTTGTATGAACCAATGCAGTGCAAAGTAAACGAAAACATAATTATTTATATAATAATATCAGTAGTATAAAAATGAATATTTTTATTTAATATTTTATTTTTTCCTTAATTACATGTAAAAACAATTTTTAACATTCATTTTTTTTGAAATTCTGAGTTCTAAATTCTCTTCCTCCCTCCCTCCTTATTGATTTTTTTTGGGGGGGTGAGGCAATTGGGGTTAAGTGACTTGCCTAGGATCACACAGCTAGTGAATGTTATGTGTCTGAAGTCAGATTTGAACTCAGTCCTCCTGACTCCAGGGCAGGTGCTCTATCCACCGTGTCACCTAGTTGCCCCTCCACAACCCCCTTATTGAGAAGGAAAACAATTTGTTATAGGTTAGACATGTGCAGTCATGCAAAACATATTTCCATATTCATAATGCTGTGAAAGAAAA